CTTATTGCTGCTGAGTTGCCAAGCTGGGGTCGCGAGAGGCCTTTGCTGGCCGTCCCCCGCAGACCATGGGCATGGGGCGGGAGGGGAAGGGGGGGGGCGTGATGCCCGGGGAGCTGCCACCCTGCGAGACTATGGCAGTTCTGCTGCCCGCTGCCCAGGGGGATACTGCATCTTTGACTGAACGCCCCCGCCTGCCCCCGCCCCCCTCCCTCTAATCCGACTTGTCCCCGTCGTCGTCCTGGTGGGCGTCCCCATCGTGGCCGTTCTTGTCCTCCTTGGAGAGGTGAGCCTGAGAGCCCAGGGCCGAGAGTGAGAGGAGCCCAGTGCCAGCGCTGACGGCTGGCAGGGACGGGGGCTGCAGCCCCACGGGCAGCGGAGTCAGGGGCAGTGCCAGGGCCTGGAGCTGCGACAGCTGGTGAGCTTGGAGCTGCTGCTGTAGGGAACGAGGGACAGACAGACAGCCGGGAGAGGACGGGTGTCACCCAGGAAGCACGCGGACCCTCCCGCACGACGGACATCCCAGGCTCTGAGATGTGGGGAGCTAATGCAGGGGCCGAAGAAACCGGAGCTCTTGTCCCTGTCATACCCAGGCTGGGGCTCAGCTGGCCCTGACACTGCTGATCTGCCCACTCCCCCACCCCTGCCTGGGGGCCAGCATGCCCAGGGGCCGCTCTGCCTCATTCAGCCTGGCAGCCAGGGCTCTGAGGGGTGTGTTGTATCCCTGCAGGCACTGGCACGGGGGTGTGGAGGGGACTGGCAGAGACCCCATGCCACTTGGGTCAGCGATAGCCACATGCAGCCAGCCCGCATCAGCTCTGGTGAGGCCACAGCTGGGCTCTAGTCATCCCATCTTCCCCTGCCCCCCACCCCACCGCCCTGTGCCCAGCGAAGGGATTTGCCCCCAGTGTCAGGGTGCCCCCCCTCAACATGCATCACGTACGCGGATGATGGAGTTGAGCTCCGGCGCCGTCACCTGCTTGGCCCGCTCAATGGCTCCCAGGACCTGCTGCTGGTGCTGCGGACAGGAGGAAGAGACACGGGGCTTCAGGGAGGAGGCTGGCAAGATAACCCCTCCCCTGCCAGGGCTAATCCCCATGCCAGGAGGCAGCTGAGACTGGTACACACCAAGCCCTGATCTCCGGAGCCCCAGGGGGTCCATGCGGGGAGTGCACCTAGAGGCCTGTCCCCCACATCGGGCTGCCCCGCATGGCACTGGGATCCCTCCCCTGACTGCAGGCCCAGGGTACTTAAAAGGGACCCCACCCCTGACCTACTGTCCTGACTAAACCCCACTGCTCTTCCCAGCCGGACATGCCAGGGTCCAAGTCCATCGGGCGCACGCTGGCCCCCCCGCCCTGGGCAATTAATCCATCAGG